AGGGAAGGGGTACTACCTAATTTATAATAATTAAATTATTTATATAAATACACCTCAGCTAAGCTACTCTATGAAGCATATCCACACCAAATTTTTAGCTTACTTTTTGGAGGCAAAGTTCTGAAAGCATAAAAATATACATGTTAATATTTGGTTTATGTATTTGAATAAAGAAATGTTCAATTGTAATTTTTTTATTCACATTTTTGACAGTGAAATATTTTGATATGAACAGTTCTAAGAAAAAACATTAGACCAAGTTATTACAGAAAATAGAAATAAAATTGAAAATTTTAACAGATGCAACCGCACTTGAATGTCTATAGAAAACACCTTGGAAAACTCAACACACTTTTAATTTTTTTGTTGTTGTTGATAATAAATGATATTAAAGTAGTTCATTTTAAGATTAAAAATATAAATTCCTCTCTAGAAATGTAATTCAAAAGCAAAGCCTTTCTTGTGTAAAGAGGCTGCAGAAAAAGGAACTAAGATCTTCTTCAGTGGCTTAGTAGCCTCCTAAAATGCATCTCATTAGGATTCTCACTCTGGTGGAGTGAGAAGGAGTTTTTTCTCTGAAATTACAGAAGTAAAGAAGTTTGAAATATTTGTGCCTGCTCTTATAGTTGGGATACTTTGAAGCATGATTTTCTCAGAAAAAGATCCGGTCCTTACAGAGAGATTGACAAGTGAAACATTACACAGAAATGCAACAAAAGACAACACTAACCATTTTTAGAAAAGTAATAATTATTTCAATGGCAATTTTTGATTTTTTTAAAGCAGGATTTATAGACATGCATTTTTAAATGTGGAAACATACCATTTCAATAAAGCAGGTTGCTCAGATGTTAAGTAACAAAATATTTTTCCATCTTTATAAGTATTATTGCATTACTGTTGGCTGTAAAAAACAGCTGTTCCCTGTCTGTACATTATGGCACATCCAGAGGCTGCACGGCTCTCCCTCATTTCTGGTGCTAAGGTGGAACTACCTTGCTGACCACAGTGCAGCCACACATTGCTGACACCTCTTGCTGACACTGCTGCTGTCAAAGGGACTGTAGAGGAGGGCACAGCGTATTCCAGCATATGCTACTCTCCCATTTGTATATGTCCATGCTTAAGTTAGAAATGCTTAAGCTGGTTTTATTTTCTGATTGCCAAAGGCTTAGGAAAAATCCAGCTAACTAGGATACATCCTAGGGATGACAATGCTTATTTAGCTAGGCTGTCTTCAGGTGCTGAGCTAACTTTTATGTAGCTTACCTGAGTATCTCTTTGCTTCACCAGAGGTAGAGAAACTTTACAAAAGATAAAAGTAAACATGATGAAGAAACTAGGTTTTCCATTAGCAGTTTGCTTTGAGCTGCCTTTGTTTAACAGATTTCTGTAGTGGAATGATATCAGAGGGTCAAACATACTGAATCATACGCTACAAAAATCACAGACCAGGTGTCTAAGCTGATCTATGATCTAATTCTCTGTGTTCAGTGTTCTCATTGTCAGAAGAGCATTGATGCAGATATAATACTTGGCCAAATATATTTCTGTATCATGTTCATTATTTACTCCATAGGCTGTTTTCCTGCAGATAATTTTACAGTTGTCACATAGGAGTGAAAAATGGGCTTATGGAGGGTTTTTTTACATCTGCCAACCAAAAGATACTTACTTATCCCATTTCTCTGAAATAAATCATGTAGCTCACAGTTAAAATTAGTTTTTAAAATGCTGGAAACATTTGTGAATTTCCCATCTGTTGCAGCAGTTGTCTGACTCTATCTCCTTTGTCATTTGTTCTAAATCCTATGGAAAGATCTTGAAAGGTGAGACAGGGGGCTTGGGGATTTTCTTGTTTGTATTTTTTTTTTAAGTTTGATAGGATATTTGACACTTATATAATCTTTATTAACGGTGGGGATGCTAAAAATTTATCCAGAAAGAGCTATGTCATGTTTTCAGCAGTTGTCATTGTGACATGCTTCATTACAAGTCAAAAAATGAAGTTTTTGTTGCCTGTGCACTTTTGTCTAGACTAAATTTCACATTTTTGTTCACTGGGCTTATTTCCAGTATGATTATTATTGACTAAAGTGGAGCTCAAAGACTTGTGTGGCTGATGAAATGAGATATTTGACTGGGATGCAGAAGACTTATGGTGTATTAATGGCTCAATTTATGCTGCTTCTTCAATGTATTTAAGGGTTCACAAAAGAAAATTAACATATCAAGTACTTTGGCAGGGTATATTGCGACAGGACACTGCCCTCTGTAAGAATGCAAAAAAAGATCAAATATTTGAATTACTGTAATTTCATTCCATTACTGTGCTTTAAAAACTGATATTAGTTTGCTAACTGCAAGTATCTGTGCATGTTTACTTAGATATTTTGTATATCAAAATTAACATCAATCAAGAGAAGACTAAATTTTAAAATTATGCATAATACATTTTCAAGTTTTTTGAAGATTTTTTTATTCAGTAAAGTGATTAAATACTTGGTATTACAATTAAATGGGTAATAATGTGCTTTTCAAAGCTGTAAATCAAGTTAAACAAAGAGAAATAAATAAATGCAAGATTAAATTGCTTGAAGACAGTTTTTTGACTGAAGTCACTAGCATGAAGAGCTGTGTTCTGCTCTAAGTTGCTTCTCGAATAATCATTTTTGCAAATATTTCAAAAAAGTGTAAAATGCAGTTTTGTAAAGCACTCCCTTTCTTTCTGTTTCAATTCCTCAGCTTGTAAAAGATAATAACTGGCATCATTAAGAAGTTGTGTTCAGAAGAAACAGTCAAATTTTGAAGTATCAGAGATTTTTATATATTATAAAAAAAATCATAAATATTAACATTTAATATGGGAATTTTACTTTTGTAGAAGTATGCAATGAGTTATGCCACCAAGACTTCAAATGGTCAAGACAAAACCAATGAAAAATAAAGAAATTTAGTGTGAGCATCTAAATTGTTCTATTACATACACCACTGAAAAAAGATGCATGTATGTCTTTCTAAAATGCTTTAAAATGGTAACTTCATCCTCAGAGCTGCATCTTGATCTGCAAACCAAAGCTGAACTTCATTTTGTAAAATAATTTTTGCATGAATTCATATTGACTTCAGAAAAATATATTCTATGGTGAATGCATTTTGCCTAATACATTGAAAGTAATGGTAAAAAATGTATATGTGTTACATATAGTAGCAGGTGCAGACAAACTGACATAAGCTTGAAAACTCTGTAACTGTTAACAAAGTGAATACTAATCATCGTAGTGTTTAAAATGTTATATAATTTTTCAAATTTTTTTTTTTCTGGAAGAGTGTTTTGCAACTAAATTGCCATTGTGTTTACATTTTGTTCAGTAGTACATAATATAAACAAATCAACTTCTTTAATCATCAATGGATAGTAAATTATAAAGAATTTCTCAGATGTACTGTACATTTTAAGATAGAATTACTATGAAAGATACTATTGTATTTACTTCCTTGTCTTCTCAAGACGCCTTGTCTTACAGTGTTAATGTTAAACCATAACAATGTCTTAAGATTTAGTTTGGCACTTCCCAATTTTCCAAAAGTTGGTGATAAAATTAATTTCAAATTGTTATTGAAAAATATGGGGAAATTTTATTGAGGTAATTTTTTTTACTAATGTGTTTAACTGCAACAGTATTGCAAATGAAGTTCTTACTTAAACATCCAATTTAGGGTATTCCATGACAGCTGACTGTATGTTGGGGGCAGACAAATTTAGGATGGATGTGTATCACCTCTGAGGAGACTGATTTCACCACAGTTGCTGGTTCAACAGAAAGACATTTTCTACATCCCTTGTTTGACTGTTCCTATGCAGCTAATCAGCTACCAGGTGCCAACAAGCTTCCTTTTCTCCAAGATTTGAGAGACCCTGGCCATGGTGCCTCGACTCCACTTTGTTTCCATCCCACCCTACCATGTGCTTGGGTGGGAAGCTGGGCATGTTTTTGATTTCATCCCAGAAGTAGCAGCCACATTTCTCCCTGTTATTTCCATACTGTTATAACTACAAATCTCCATACTATGTCTATAAATTTCCATTCTGTTTCATCCCCCCTTATTATTCATTCTGTAGGGGGAGTTGGGCATGTTGACAGCAATTTTTTTCTGTAAAAATGTAATTTTCCTCTCAGTCTTTTTTCCCACATGATGATACTTATTTGTTAAGGTTAGGAGGAGAAAAGTGTAAAAAGAAGAGGTGTAGGTAAACAAGTAGATATGCTGAGTTAATGCTACAAGTGAATTAATGTCAGAAAGGACAAATATTCCATTAATTGCTTAAATATAAAACCCAGTGTCATGGTTTGACACAGAAAAAGAATTTTTCCAGAAGGAAGAGGTCAATTTGGACATTGACTAATTGAAAGTAGATACGCCTCTGAGAACACAGAGGGGTTAAAAGCAGAATTCCTAGGAGAACTTGCTTTCTTTTGTTTCGGTCAGCCCAGCCGTCAGCCTGCAGTGCAGGCTCTCCCCTGCTCGATAAGCTGGGTGGGGGAGGGGAAAAGCCATGTGGCCTTTGGAGGTAGGCCCAAGGGTGGAGGGACTGGAACTGGGCTGGCCCCCTGCAGATAGAAGGGTGGAGAAATCTGGGATGTCTCCGTTCCCCCCAGAGTCTCTCTCTCTCCCAAGAGAGAGAAAGAGACAGAGGTGGTTTTGCCAGCAGCTCACCGTGGGGAAGGAGAAGAGTGGGGGGGGGCGCAAGGTGCCCAGCCGCCTGTGGGAGCTGGAGCCTGGGCAGCAAGCCATTTTTGGGAGTCGGGACTTTTAACCCTTCTTTGAGAAATAAAAGCTTTGTGAAATTTTTCTCCTCCTCAGTTTGAAAAAGAGGAAGAGAGACAGCTTGGACCCTGGGATGTTAGAAGGAGAAATTCTAGGTGGGAGGAGATGATGGAGTGGCCTTTGGCTGGACTTTTTCTTGGTAGCCACAGACTGAACTGATCTTCTCCTCCAAGAGAGACTGTATTTTAGGAAGATGCCGGTGAGCCAAAGAGACCTTCTTCAGGTGAGAAAAGACAGAAGTGGAGCAAACAGAAAAAAGTTAAAGAGGTTTGTGGTGGTGCCCCCTGTCTTCGCAGGGGAAGAAGAGAAGATCTCTATTTTTAGACCCTCGGCCCCAGGGGAAAATGGGGAGGGACTGTTGGTCTCAAAAATGGAAAACTGAACTGTTGTTTTTTCCCCTCTTGGCAGGGTATCCTTGAAAGGAAAAATCTTTAAAAGTAGTCTGTCTATCTATGCATTGGTAGTGAGAGCATTGTGCATGGAAAGGAGAGGGTCACCATTGGCAAACTTTTTTTCTTTTTTTTTTTCTTTTTTCTCCGGGCGGTGCCATGTGGTGACATGGAAGCACAGGATGTGGCAGCTGTGTTGCTTGGGGGGTCTGTGGCACAGGAGAGGCTCCTCTCTCCCTGCAGATGGACTAGGTGTTGATTATCTAGAGGGTGGAAACCTGATTGGGGTCCAGATTGTGTCTCACTGTGGTGTGTTAGAGTTGGGTGGTGGGAGAAGGAATGCTTTGGAAGGTTTTCATTTTAAATTGTGTGTGTTTTCTTTCTTCTTTTTTTCTCTTTTATAGTAGCATAGTGGTAGTAGCTTAATAAAGTTCTCTTGTTATTAGGCTTGGGCCTGCTTTGCTCTGTTCTCAATCGCATTTCACAACATTCAACTGAGAGATTGCATTTCCATGGGGGCACTGGCATTGTGCCAGTGTCAAACCATGACACCCAATTTTTATAATTGCATTTTAGTTAATAGATCCTGTGGAATAAACAGTGATTTTTTGCACATTTTTATGCTAATTTATTTCCACTTTGCTATTTTAAAAATACAAACATTTTATTCTCATATGTAAACATAGTTCTGGGACTTAATGTATTTTGCAGGTAATGGAGGAAAACCGTAGACCTGATATGGCAAGACAATCAACCAGAAGGATATCCCAGGCAGGGAAACTACTCTCACAAGTATTTATTTGTGCTATGCACATTCTCAAGAATAACAGCAGCTTGGGTCATCAACAGAGCTCTCCAATACAGTTGCTTCAAGATACAGACACATAAGAAAAAAAAAAGGAATTTGCTCAATTATATCTTTTGTATCCTTTTTTCCCCATTATTTTTTTTTTTTAAATTTTCTTTTTATTTTTCGTTCTTTTTTCCTGAGAGTAAATAAGCAGTTTCTCTGCAGTCTAATATTTCCATGAACTGATGTTTAGGAAGTTACTACTAGTTTACTCCATATGAAATTTCTTTATGAAATTAGTATTTCTAAACTTTATTGCATTGTTTTTTGTACCTCACACAGGTCTTTTTCTGATTTAAAAACTGATGAGCATATGGATTTTTTGATTTATACTTCTAGTTATTAAATGTAGAGCAAATCCAGTACTGAAGTAGGCGAAGTAGTTCAAATAACATACTTTCTTACATACTGTAAGTTCAAAGAACATACTTTTCTGCAGCAGTGGCTTGTTCACCACATGTAAAATGATCCTTCACTCCCTATCTAAAATCTAGCAAGTTACATAAACTCTAAATAAACTCTAAACTCCAGCTTTTTTCCCTTTGTTTTTCATTGTACCAATACGGCAAGGATTTAGCAATGGATTTCAGAAGGAGTTGTGAAACAATGACTGCTAAGAAAAATGAAAGCTATATGATCAGATCATATTTTCTCAGAATACTATTGCTGCATAGGACAAGATCTCTTTAGCAAGCAGATATGAGCAGAAGTTAATCTTATTGTCAGTATCTAGGTGCAAAGTGACACTGTAAAAATAGTGGAGTTTCTGGCAAGACATATCAAATGCGTTTTGCAAAGGAGAAGCACATGCAGCAAAGGAAAATGAAAATTATTAATTTTCCATGATTTTACATTATAAGGAAACTCATTGCAAATGCATAAGTTTTATGCCAATGAGCTTTTGTGAGTCTTTCAATTATGTCATGTGATACTTTCAGACTATATGTTAGTTATGTTACTTTTCACACAGATATTTTAAGGGGTTAAAAATAGTCTTACAATAAAAAAGTCTCAGAGGAAAAAGCAATTATTTCCTTCTTGAGGTTCCTAGAAAATACCTACTAGGTTTATAGCATATTATCAAACTAACAAAACTTTAATTTTGAAATTTGTTCCTTCACTCTTTGTTTCCTTTCTTTTTCAAGTTGCTCAGAGAGATTTTTATTGCTAATGCTGTGTTCTGTATTCAAATCAGGAGTTAGAGCTGCATAGATGAAAAGTTCTATAAAGTTGGACACAGACATTACTAGCAAATTGTCACAGAAGGTAGATCTGCCAGAATTCACATGACCTTGTTTTCAAACAAAGTAGAAAATATTAAGGAAAATAAGAAAAAGGAAAGGAGTTAAATGGCACTTTGTAGTTTCCCCTCACTCAGCCCCCGAAGAATCCGACTAGCTCAGTGATAAGGGGCTGTGAGGGGAGGAATATCAGGAGAGGCGTATAGGTATTCAAAGGAGGCTCACCCCAGGATATAGCTGGTACAGCTCTCTTTATTCTGTGTTGTCCATGTGGAGAGCGGGGCAAAAGAGACGGAACAGGAAATGTCAGGGGTCTATATAGGTTTTGGACAGGGCGGGCTTTCCTGGCTCTCCGCCAACCCCATTGGGGCAGGAAGGAGGGGTCCAGGGGTTATCTTGATCAGAGTCACAGGGTCCCGGGGGAAGGGGGGGCAGAATGCCCATGAGCTCACTGTAACAGCACTTAAGAATCTTGCTTCTCAGTTTAGAGTTTGCTGCATATCTTCTTGTTTTAATTGTTTCCTGCATACAGTGTTCAGATCTCAGAGATCGTTTATACAGGTTCAGTGTATTTCTCCTCCTCCACTCAGGGGTATATTAGGGTTTTGATCACCCTCCAAAAGAAACTTTTATCTACTCTAATAATCAACACAAGGAATACGTCTCACCTTGACCATAACCAAGGAAAGACTTTTTTTATATCCCAATGCTGGCACATTGCAGAGAAGTGTTAAAACCCCAACTTTTCTGATCTCACATAACTGCCCTCCCGGGTACCAGCATCAGAATTTCCCCTCACTTTGCCAACTCCAGTCCTCAATTTGTGCCTGCCCCTGTAACAGGGTTATATCAAAGCAGGCAGAGAGCTCAGCAGACTCTTCTTATCTACATTACTACATCAGAGCCTCATCTAAGTTGCAGCCAAGAGCCCAATCCTGAATTCTCATAAACTGGTCCATCTATACCTAAAAAGGAAGTCTCCAAATAACTGAAGTCTGTCCATTTCATAAGTGACAGGTCCCTTCCATGATGCAGTGATGATACAAAGAATCTAGCACATAGTATTTATTAGGTTTTGTTTTGTCTTTGATAAACATATTTAACACTTTGCCTAAATGTCTTGAAAAGTGCATAGAAATCAAAGTACTATGTAGAATGATGTTAAAGGCAGCATCCTACTGCAAAGATGCAGATTGCTTGCAAATGCACTTTTCAATAGTTCATTTTTTACAATCCTTAACACTTCTTAGGAAGTGACTGTTGAGAACAAGATATTACATTTTAGCAAGACAAATCAGAATGTGTAAGTGTCTTTTAATGATTCAAGTACATTTTCCACATACTAGAATGCTGGCACTCATAAAATATGTCCAAAGGAAATATCTTTATGTAATGGACCTTTAGATCTTAGTGTTGTGACCATCATCCATCATGCTATGGCTCAACGTGCTATTTGATTCAGGTTACATTTAAGGTATTTATGCTCTTTTCACTATACAGGTGACAAATTATTCTTTTACTTTGCAAAAGAATGATATGCCTGTATTTTGTAATTTTCTTTATATCATTTTTAGTTCAAACAACAAACAAACAACCCATAAAAATAATTGTACTAGGTGTCACGCTCCTATCAGTTATTTAGAATTGGAAATCAATTACAGACCACTGTGACTGACTAGCATGTTAATCCAGCAGAAAGAAAGTAGACTTAAAAAAAAAAAAAAATCAAAATTCATATTTTATTCTTTGCAAAAGTAAAGAACATTTACTATAGCCTAATCAATATTCTTTGTCTTTGTGTCCCTTTAATTTTATTTTTCCTCATTTTAGTTACCATTATTTTTCTTATTGTCCTGCCCTTGTCCCTTCTCCTATTATGTCTAAAGTCTATTTTCCCCATTTACAAGTTTATTTCCACCTTTCTGTACCTTTTCTGAACAACTGCTTCATTTGCTTCAGAGGTCGTGCAAAACCTTGTGTGTGACTGAAGAAAATGAAACATTAAAAAGCTGTGCTTAATCACTCTGGAAAAGCATCTTGATGTCAGAAATAGATTATTATTAGCTAGCATGATACATGTAAAAAAACCCCAACCAACCAAACAAAAATCAACCAAAAAGCTGAAAAGATACAAATAAAACCACCAGTCTGTTAGAGCTTCAGATTTTCTGAGGTTGACTTCAGTACTGACACTTTCAGCTCCTGTATCAACAGACTGTCTCAGAATTCATATGAATCTACATATGAATTGCTAAATTGAGAGAAAATCTCCCAGAGCAACCCAAATCTGCTCACTTTTAAATGAAGCAGTACATAAAGTTATAAAGACAAGTTTATAGATTGTTTGCAAGTGTATTCTTAACTCCTGCTTTATTTTAAAATCTCCATTACCACGCACTGTTGACTCAGGATGTGTATTTGATATTAACCTGGCAAATCCTGTATTTCAAAGCTTGAATGGTGATGATCTAATAAGACTGCCATAGTAATCCTGTCTCCGATAGTCCCCAAAAGGCCTTGTGGTATTTAGCCATAGAGAAACCAACATTTATTAATTTGTCTCTCAGATTTAACAAGCATGCACGTACATAGAATAATTTTATTATCATGTCTATCTCAGTAGTTTAACAAGAAAACAGAATGAATACAAAGGTTCAACAAATAGGAGCATGATTGCATTACAAAGTAGTATTGTGAGCATTACTTAAAAGTAAGGATTTAAGAATATAGCTGCTATACACATCTAACCTCAGTCATGCATTTCTTACTGTACTGGGAATTAGAAATAAATGTGAGAACAAAGAGGTGTCTGTTGTTAACTCTTATATACTCATCTATCTGCATCAGTATAGCATTATGAAGGATTTAACTTTCAGTTAACAACAACAATAACTATTAGCAACAGTTAACTTGTTGCTGAGATATCACCACTTTCATTTTCAGCTTGTATTTTTCATACTCACTTGACAATGCATGCAATTTCACTGGTGCCAAGCCTTTCATGTGGAATTCATAGTCATTTTGCACTCCTCTTTCAAAAGACAGAAGGTGGATGAAAGGCAAATTAAGACAAAAGAAATAATTACATATTTCTTCACATAAAGTACTCACAATCTCTCCAACAGATCTGTAAAAAATTAGTAATAAAAACTGGATATATTAATAATTTTTATCTTTACTGTGTCTTAGAAAGTAAACGCATCAGGTTATGTCCTTAAAATATCCTCTGGCCCCAGGGCATCTATGGAAGACAAGAAAGAGAAAGTCTGAACCAGCTCCAAATTTCTTAAATTTCTTAAAGTACAAAGACATAATACAAAATTCATTCAAATTTCAGCTTCTTTGAAAATTATTTCCAAAACAATAAATTTAGCACTGTATTTATATGCTCAGTAAGGGTTATTTTTAATTATTTGAATTGCTATGCCTATGACTTAAAAAAGGAAAGGGCGAAACTGCAAAAACCTGTGTCCTAAAGGAAATACAGTTTAGCATAACATTTTCTGTCTCTCTTTTAAAACTGTATTCTTAACAGCCTATGTTTGCTTGCTATTAAAAAAAAAAACCTACTTCAAAGTGACTGTATTTTATGAAGTCTGTATTTAATTGAATCCTGATTCACAGGCAAACAATGTACATTCAATAAATATGTCTGTTATCCAGGCTAAAAATACTTGTCAAAGAAAACAACCAGTGATTCCTTTCTGAAAATTCAGCCTCCTACTACTTTGATCCTAAATAAGCTGCACAAAATGCATAATCTTGCATAATCATTAACTATGAGGTGTAGATTTATGATTTACATTTCTATTTTTATTTAAGCAAGAAGTATTTTTGTCTTTCCATTTTGACTGCTTTGTTTTCAAAATCAGTCATCTGACACCAGAATCACTTATCTGACTTTTTAACGATTGATGAGCCATTTCAAACCCAGCTTCATGGAGCTATTGCCCACATCATTAGAGAAAGAAAAAAAAAATGATTTTCAGTTTATTTCTTTTGTCTACATGAATGCTTTTTCAGGCTCTGGAAATTATATCAAGAGCATAGACTCATTTCTTTAGCTTTAGTTTCAGCAATCATGCCCTAGGGCAATATTAATTACATAGTGTCAGGTGTTACCTTACTGACTGGCCCTACATGTAGAAAGGAAATATACTTTCTATGCTACCTGTCATTATCCGCATTATCATGGCACCACATCTCCTTTATTACTGGTATGTACCTGTCCTGTGCCTTCAAATACTGTTGGGTGATTCCACTAGAATTCACAGCTAAATTGACATGTT